GTTGATTCTAGCAGTAAGTAAATTACTGTAGTAATTTAAATAAGTAAGTCAATGAGTGTTTATGATTCGAGTAATGATAAGTTAAAAATTTTAGCAATGGGTAAAGTTCAGACTTTGTAGTGTAAATTCATGAATTAGCAGAGATTTTAACAGTGGATGATCATTTAGCAATGCAGATTCATGGCTTTGATGAAGACAGGGCGTGATTTTAATAGTGAGTGAAGAATATACAAGATGTGACAACTATGATCACACCGACCAATCAGGTATTAGATTTTGGGCACGCACATAATTTTTTTCTCGAATAAGCCATACACTTTATGATATTCATCACTCCATTCCTAATATTAAAGATTTTGGCATAGTAATAATACAAATCTATTTCTAATTATATATTATATATACTGTATGTACTGTACATTGGGGTGTCCAATGTACTATATAAATCAAATATATATATAGTCACATATAACAATTGAATATATAAGTTTTTTGTATAACATTTATGCTAATCTATAGTTAAATTTTAGGGAAATTTACAAATAAGAGCCCAGAAAGAGAAAATAATTACAGATATGGGCCCAAATTAAAAATAATTACATATAAAGATCTAATTTTTTATAAAATATTACATATAAGGGCCCAAATCTATTGATAGCAGAAAAAATATGATCATGGAGTACAAAGTAATATGCTTATAACGATTGCAAAATCATGATAATAGGATTATCGATTGTTTTATTATAGGTATATAGAGTTATCTATATACCGATTATTAGATAAAAAGGTAAATAAAGCTCTAGTTATAATCATTTCTATTTAAGTATTGTATAAAAAATAGCGTTGAACTAGCACAATTATTTATAAGGTGAAGTTTCATCAGAGTAGCTCTCTAGATCTGAATAAACATCTTCTATATTAGTAAATGTTATGCCAATTCGTTTCTTAACATCATAGTGGTTTGTTATAACAATAAACAATTTATACAAAGAAAATAAAATTTATTAAATTTAATAAAATTTTTCATTGATAATTACTAATTTACAATCAATCGTAACATTTTTTTATGCACTTAATAACTACATTTATAATGCTTATGTTTCTTATGCTAATAACGATTGTGAACAGTCCTTAAAATCGATCATGAACTAGTTCATAGCTTTAAAATCGATCGTGAACTAGTTTACGATCTTTAAAATCGATCGTGAATGAGTTCACGGTCCTTATAGTTGATCGTGAACTAGTTCACCGTCCTTAAAATCGATCGTGAACTAGTTCACAGTCCCTAAAATCAATGTGAACTAGTTCATGATCGATTTTAAAGACCATGAACTAGTTCATGATCGATTTTAAGGACCGTAAACTAGTTCATGATCGATTTTAAGAACTGTAAACTAGTTCATGATCGATTTTAAGGACTGTAAACTAGTATATGATCGATTTTAAGGACTGTGAACTAGTTCACGATCAACTATAAGGACCGTGAACTAGTTCACGATCGATTTTAAGGACCGTGAACTAGTTCACGATTGATTTTAGAGACTGTGAACTAGTTCACAATTGTTATTAGTATAAGAAATGTAAGCATCATAAATGTAGTTATTAAGTGCATAAAAAAATGTAATGATTGATTGTAAATTAGTAATTATCAATGAGAATTTTCGTTAAAATTTAGAGGAATTTACAAATAAGGGCCCAGAAAGTTAAAATAATTACAGATACAGGCCCAAATTAAAAATAATTACATATAAGGGTCAAATCTATTGACAGCAGAAAAAACATGATCATGGAATACAAAGTACTGTGCTTATAACGATTGCAAAATCACGGTATTGTATAAAAAATAGTGTTGAACTAGCACAATTATTTATAAGGCAAAGTTTCAGCAGAGTAGCTCTCTAGATCTGAATGAACATCTTCCATATTAGTAAATGTTATGCCAATTCGTTTGTTGACATCATAGTGGTTTGTTATAACCATAAACAATTTATACAAAGAAAATGAAATTTATTATAAATTTAATAAAATTTCTTAATATTAGTAAAAATTCTTAAAATTAATAAAAAAAATGCTCCATTAATTTAAAATACAGGTTCTATTGAGTAATCGAGCAAATTTTTTGAGCTAGTTAATATGTAACTTGCAGAGGAGATACAATTTGAAATTTGATAATTTTTTATAATCGTTTCATATGAGATTTTTAAATTTTCAAATTGTATCTCCTCTGTAAATTATTTGCTCAAATGCTTAGCAGAACCTATATTTTAAACTAATGAAGAGTTTTTTTAAAAAAAAAATTTTATTAAATTTTTATTCTTAATTTATGAAATAATCTATTTGTCACAGGCGGTGACGGTATCCGGATTTGATTTATAATTGTATTTAGGATCAGAAAGATCATAGCGATAGTACGTATGTAATAAAATTATGCAAGAAATTTTTTTGTTAAGTCATGGAACTTGATTTCATAGGCATAATTTTGAATTATTTTGGTTAAAAATTTTAAGATTTTTTGTAACTGCCAGCGACAAATAGATTCGCCCATATTTTTTAACAATGATCAAATAGATAATTGTGATCATTACATAAAAATTGTCTATTCAAATATTCATATAGGACTATACATAAATTTGATCTACATAGTACACTGGATACCCCAACTGTACGTACTGTACACGAAAAAAATTGGGTTATCATAAATGGCACATCACTAATCACATTGCTCCTTTTTTCACATCAATAATTCAACTCTTCACTGGATCTCAATTCTAACTTACATTCATAATCCGAGTCAGGTTCAATATCACATTGCCCTCTTTTCTTGTTTTTTGAATGAATAATTCTGAATACTTTTTTTTATTTTTGTAATCTGTGCTTTTATTTGCAGTGAGTTGTATTGTCTGTGTATTGTATTGTTGGCGTATCGTATCGTCGGTAGAATAAACTTGTCGGTAAATGGTATTGTCAGTAAAATGAGAATGTCGGTAAATGGTATTGTCGATAAACTGAGCTTGTCGGTGAAGTCTGTGTCGGTACAATCAATATGTCGGTTAAACGAAGCTTGTCGGTAAATCGAGTGTTGGTGGATTAGCTGTCGGTAAAAAAAGTGTGTCAGTAAACTGAGTGTCGGTGTAGTGTTATGTCTGTAAAGTGATTGTCGGTAAAATAATACGAATCTGTTTATTCGTAACTGCGCCACATCGATCACCTGCTTTAACGAGCTTCCGGCACCGCCTTCCTAACGCTCACATTAGGCTATTTCGGCTACTTAGGCTATTTCGGCTACGTAGGCTACTACGGCTACGTGGGCATGAAGGCCATGACGGGTAAGTATGAGTTGGGAACGAAGTAGTAGAATTAGCAGACGTAGTAGACGTAGTAGTTGTAGCAGACGTAGAATAGCAAATGTAAATAAAGAATTTTAAAATAAATAAAGGCCAAAAAGGCCCTATAGAAAGAGGGAGACCCGAACTTCGCTTTATTAAAATAATAACTGGTCCCTTACATTATAATAAATACATAAACGTCTCCCTTGCTACATTAACTAATCGATAAATCCCCAGACCATAAAAACCCGCTTCTTGAAATTGTCTGTTCTATACCAAAGTACTGTTATATTCCCGTCCGGCTGTTGTATCCTAAAGTACCAGGATCAGCCGTGGTCACTCGAGGCAACTATCCGAAGAAGTGTGATAGTTGTGGTTATACGTGTTGTCCAATTACCCGACGTAGTGAGGTAATTGAGGAATAGAGTTAGTAAGTTCAAGGGAAGGAAAACGCAAGACAAGTAAAGAATAAATACTTACCTACGGACCCAAACCATCGACCAAATCTAAACGCCTCTTTTCGACTAAGCCAACCGTAGGTTACACAAGAGTTTTGGATTGTGGAGCGACTGACTTGCCGTATCGCCCGATTTCAATATGCATGTTTAGATCAGATTAACAAGTCTGATGGATGAATATGAGGATTGACTAAGTTAACACATTAAGTTATATATTATAATTATTACATATCGATATCGATATATAAATGACTCGCATTTTACAAATGAACCGTAATATAAAGTATGATATCCTTAATTATTTATAAAAATTAAACTTTAAATGTGTCTAGTAAAGTGATATCAGAAAAAAATAGAATAAAATAAAGTTTCGCCAATAATAAATTATTTGCATTGTATTAATCATATAGTAGTGTTACCTTTCCTCTAATTCTTTAAATTGTAAAGCTATGATCTTAAATTTTATATAAATAAATAATAGCATCTATATAATTCTGACTGAAATTCAAAACAATGCACCTTTGTGTTATTTCATGGTTATACAAAATTTATATATATATATTTTAACTAGGAGAGGGGATGGGATAATGTAAAACACAGAATTTAATCTGTCTGGCCTTATTGGGCTGTAAAGCTTTCTTCACTACATCAAGAGCCTGCAAGTAAATTTTGGGTAAATTCACCATATAGAGGGTTTTTGTATAAACTGATTTGCATTATACTTGTATTGAGAATTCACTATAACGAGAATTACTTGTATTATACCACAGATTACTACAAGTTCTTTTATTTAATATAAAATATTTGATTTCTTAAAGTTACATGCACAATACTATTGTATTTTAAAATAAATAAGTATTATAAAAAGTATAAAATTGCACAAACATAAATTAAATAGACGTTACAAAATCAAAATTAAAAATAAATAATAATAATCATAATAATGATAATTATAATAATGATAATTATAATAATGATAATTATAATTATAATAAAACATAAAATAATAAATCTGAATATATTTAAACCACAATCTAATTTCCTAATAACTATTTTTTAATGAAGTAATTGTTCTATATACTATAAATCCGAATATTTAAGCCACAATTCTAATTTCCTAATAACTATTTTTTAATAAAGTAATTGTTCTATATAAATATGAATAGAAATATTAAATTTAGAGAGTCTGCGCAATTTAATCATTCTCAATACTCATTTACAAATGTTTATTGAATATCCATTTATTAAAGAAATCTAAACTTTCAGCTGGCTTGTCATGAGGTACCATATGTCCCGCATCGAAAACTCTTAGAAATGAAAGTACTCCAAATGTTGTAACATCTCCAGAATGATTACCATTATTTGTTATCCATGCAGAATCATTAGCATTATTAAAACCTTGGGAGCCACTCCATACAAGTGCTTTTGTCCATGCTTTATTGCCTAGATAAAAAAAAAAAAGATTATTAATTAAAAACTCGCTATATTAAAGCTCATATATATATATTTAAAATTTTTTTTATTAATAGAGCAAATCACTTCATTAAAGAAAGAGTTAATTATTTTGTAATTGCTCCTAATAATATATGTTACCACATTTTATCGAAATAACACATGGAAATAATTTCGAATTTTGACCTAAATTAAACTTAATTGGGCCATTATTCGAAATAATGCAAATGTGCGTTATTTTGCGAAAATATGGTATATAAATTTAGTAATTAATACTTACCAATCCAATTACAAAGATAGTCTTTATCACCTATAAAAAAAATTTTTTTTTTATAAATTAAAATATATATACATTTTTTAAAACCAAATTAGTGTATTTATATAAAATTACCAGCATATACTAATGTTCGAATATTGCTGTTTAGTAGTGATGGAATAAATCCGTCAAATGGAAGCATCCTAAATTTTAAAAAATAAAAATATTATTAAATATGCATAAAAAAATAAAAAAAATTATTAAACATGCATATATAGTTTATAATAATTGAGTAATTTAAGATTGCTTACCAATCACCAGACATAATGAAATTATTATTAATATTAATGCTACATAGTTGAAAGGCAACTGAAGGATCAACACCTAATGCATTCCTAACATCATCACGACTAAGATAGATCGCAATATCTCCGAAATCTGGATAGCACAAAATACCACTACATTGTTGTCTTAAATCAAGAATATTTAAACTAGCGTCTTCAATAGGTTCAATCAGTGTATTAAAACAATCCGTTTTAGCAAATACGCAGTCTTTCGCATTTTTTGTATTATAGCACGTTTGAGTCAAGTCTGAGCATTGTTGAGTATTATTTTTCATCTGATTACATGATAAAGGATCTAATAATGGACAAGCCATGTCTGGAAAATGTACGAATTGTAATAGAGGGTTTACTAGACCATTTCCAATCAAGATGGATTTAAGATTGATATTAGTAAGTTTCATTGCGTTACTATTATCATTGTTATATTTCATTATCAGTGAGGCTAGGGTGGGTATGTAATGTCCTCCATACCTATTAATAATATTGACAAAATAATAAGTAAATTTATCTAAACAATATTAATAATATTAACAATACAGTATTGACAATAAAAATACTTACGATACACCAGCAATATGGAAACTTAAATTAGCATATTGACTGAATTGGGTGAAAAAGATTTGTGTAAATACATATATATCAAATGCAGCGGAGGCAGTATCAGATACACCTTCGCCGTAAGAGAAACCTGCATCATCTGGCTATAAAAATAATTTTATAAGTGTTTGTTGTTAATAATTACATGAAATACATAATGTTAAAACTACAGAAAAATATTCATTCATACTTGATCTAGGAAAATAATGGTAGCATTACTATTCCATGAATTACTATTTTCAGATGTACTATTTCCTCCTTTGTTAACTTTACAAGGACCAAGTTCAAAGAATAAAGCATTTAAAGCAGAACATCTATTATGTATAATTAAAATAAAAATTATTAAAACAAATTTTGAATAAATTGATTTTAACCGATGTTATTTAAGGTAGGACACAGAAAGTCATTTCATAAATATGAGAGCTATGAGGGAGTGATACTAAATCGTCAAATGGAGATGACCGGATACATGTTTATGCATGTACGTAGTAGTCATTTTATGTGCCGATTTAACGTCGCATCCTGTGTCTCATGTGATTATTTTCTATACCCATTCCTAAAGTTTATGCGTAAAGCTCGAATAAGATCGAAAATGTACTAAAATTGTGATCCTATTGATAAAGATGCGTGTTTTTATAGGCTCGAATTAAAAATGAAATTGCATCATAATAAAGACTATTGTTGATAATAGAGTTTTACCTAATTATATAAAGTCATTACTTGAGTAAATGAGCATATATGGAGAATAGACTAGGAAAAGCTGACTTTAAGCATGTGATTTTCCTAGTCAATTCCCCAGGGCATGATAAAAAAGTGGCGTATATGTGGCAATCCTGTGGATCTGCATCATAATCTATTCTAATTGTTCCACTGCATCGACACCACTTATTTGTAGTACCATTATGTACGTACATTAATTTAATACAATCGATCTTATCAATAATTTCGGTCAGATACGCCATTTATATTATTATAAAATAAAAGTATCTTACCCAGGGCCACCATGAAGCTATTTTTAATAAATTTTGATTTAGCAAATAAAAACACCAAGTTACTGCAAGTTACTGCAAGTTACTGCAAGTTATTGTAAGTTACTGTAAGCTACTGTATACACATACCCAAAGAACTACAGGATCTTCTAGAGGTTTATTTCTCGATTCGAAAGCCCAAAAGAAAAAGTGTTTTTTGTCATCAATATCAAAATATCCTGAATGCTAATATTCAAAAAAAATTTAGTATTAAATAATTATCAAAGATTCATTTTTCAAATTAAATAAGACATAAGTAAACCTGTTTAACGGCTCCATCACAAATAGTCGGTTCTTTTACTCTAACTTTATAATCAGGGAATTTTCCTACTGGTTGAGATGAAGCTAAATTGCATAATAACAATACTACGAAAAACAAAATTATGGATCTAAAATTCGGGTGCGCTAAAATAACCATCTTTCTTATAATATTGATTAATTGAAGAAAATAAATCTTTTTTTTAAAAAAAAAAAACACTTCCTCCTCTGGTACTTATTTATAATGATAATTCCCAAGTCATTTAATAATATATATTTATTGTTAGTGCAATGAATTATTCGTTAATCCTGTGATTTTTTTTATAAGATTGGAAATGATAATAATAATAAATTAGTATTACTGGTTTTATATATTTGTACGTACATCGATCTTACGCATAAGATTAAAATAATATGCAAAATTGTTGACTTTTAGAGTTGTGATATGTTATTCCTCGTTTTTACGTACCTATTCTATTCATATATCTATCTAGAGATAAACAAAAGAATTACTTAATATTATTTATTACGTAAAAAACAAACGTAAACTACAATTTCCATTGATTGTTTACATAATAAAGAATATTAAGTGAATGCATTTCTCATCTCTAATTACCTGTCAATTTATATTACATTGCATTAGTTTTTCGGGTTACTACAAAATCTAGACTATATAATTGAATTAGCCCCTGGAATTGGATCTTCTTGCATGCATTAGTTAGTAACTTAATTCTTTGTAAAAAAAAATTCATGAATTTAATGATTGGACTACAAATTATTTGTCAAAAATATTTTGTAATACACAGAAAAAAAAAACTGCTTACTAAATTCGACAAAATCACCGTACCGGTAGCGTTCCGAAATTATGCACCACATGCACCACCAAATTTGTTTTAATTATGCAACAATATGGATAAAGACCCTAGAATGACCACCAAGATGGTTATGTAATTCATTACGTTTATTTGGGTGCTGCAAAGTAAAACCCCGTAATTGTGAGTTTTCCGAAATTAATTTATAGAAATAAACTTATTCGGTAAATGATTCATTAAATAGAATTTTATCGTAGCCCTTATTTATTGGTATTTAAAATTTTGATTCTAGAACTCTGACGATTAATATCGAATGCATAACAAAGCGAAAAATGATTCTATTCTATTAATATAATTGAAAGTGTTTATTGTTTACAAAAAGGCTTTAAACGGCTTTTATTTTCCTGATACGAAAAAGTATTCAACAAAATCCTTTATTTAAAGGTCGTCTAAAGCTAAAGCAGGTAATTTTTAAATTGATTACTAATAAATTTGTAAGGTAAAATCACGTAAGTTACTATCCGGCTTTGTATGGTCCCTTTATTAGGTAATAAAATGCGTTTTTATTTCTTCCATTTCATGCTTCTATTATTTATCATTTTTGGATCAATTTGAAATTCGAATTAATATTTTTTAACGCTAAAAATTTTATTTTTATTGTAGAAGGTTATCCAATAACATCTATGTGAATAACATACAATTAATATATTACCTCATGGAGGGTTATGTTTTATCATTTTTTTTACAATTTTTAGTCCTAATATCTACTTGTCCACTTATCTCTCACTTAGTTTTTCAACTTATATAATAAGAGAATAATTTGAATCTAAATTATTAGAATTTAATTACTGGATATAAGAATTTTATATACATTTTGAAGAAATAAACATTCATTTTTTCAAAAGAATTAAAAAAAACCCCGGATTATTAAAAATAAAACAAGGAATTGTGTACTGATTATTATATATTGACATTTTTAAATACAAGTTCTGATTATTACATAGCAAACATTTGTTTGAATAAGGCCAAACTCAATTGGTTATTGACGCAGAACATGCTGAACGTACCCAATACTAATTACTTATTGTGTAAAGAATTAAATCGCAATATGTAAAGTACGTACGTACAGTACTTACAACTAGTAGCATGCTAAATTATCTACCTTTCCATCTTTATTCAATACACTTTATACAATAATCAGAAGGGTTTTACCCATCTAGTGTCCTAAGGATTCAATTGAATGTCCCAAACTGACGTCGCTTTAATGTATTTATTATCTTGAACAATATAAAATATACCTTATAGGAAACAGATGCTGTTAGATCTGTAGATGTCGAAACGGACAAGTTACACGAATATCCGCGTAGTCACGTGATGTGTGGCCAATAGGATTGTTTATTTTGATCAACCCGAACCAAAAAAACAGTGAATAAAGTGTAACCCCTAAAAAATAGAAGAAACGAGTGTCAAAACCTACCTTGGAGCGCCAGTAAAAAATACTTGGGAGGAAATTTTACTGTAAGACATGCCTTTGTCTTAACCATTATGCCTTTGTCTTAACCATTATGCCTTTATCTTAACCATGAACTAGTCCTTACACTAATTTTAATCGAAAACTTAAATTTATATAACCGCACATGGCATCGGAATCAATGGATAAACAGAATTTAATTCTGAACACTTTAATTAAAAGCTCAAAAATAAAAAACCATAATATTTAGAAAATTGACTATGAATAGTTGTGACCGTTTGTGGCCGAACCCATCAGTAAAGGCTCAAAAACAATTATAAGTTTTAGATTCTTTTCTACTCAAAATTTACAATTTATTTCGCTGATTAATGTATAACTCAGCTTCCGATTTGTGTAACCGAAGCAAAAAGAATCACTTGGTCTGCATTTCTGTACCATAAACGGGAGATCTCCATACTGCATAAATTACATTCTTGATATTTTCTATAACCCAATAATTTTAACTCCATCAAAAAAGTAACTCTAAAACTCGCTCCGCTTTAGCTGACCACCATTTTTGGTAATGTGCCCGACTGCAGGTAGGTTGGAAATCCATTATATTGTGAATCTCAGGTAGACCAGTAATGCAACGGTACACAATGAACTTTAGAATTACATTTAAAACTGGTTAGTTGATAGTTTATGTAGACACTTAATCTTATTAAAAGCTTACAATATTCTTACAACAAAATAAATGCTTAAAAACTATTTGATCGAATTTTATATTAGGCCAATTTGATATAATATAAAATAATTTTATGTTAGTTTTTGCGAATTACAGATTTTTAAAGCTATCTAAAACTATAGTTGATATACTGTAATTCACGTATTCAATTAAAACTAGGATCGTGGGAATGTGAGCAACTGACAATCAAATTTATGAATTATTGTAATTAACAAGTATACTAAAAAATTTCCATATTTTGCATAAAAAAGAAAGGTGATGAAAAAGTTTAAACTGATAACGTAAACTATACAAAGGAAAAAAAAAAAAATCAACATAGTGGTCAATTACTGCTAAACAATAATATCATTAATGGATAAGGTTAAAAATATTTACGTGGGTGTCGATGATTTGCATCAATCACCTGCTGTCATTAGACATCCGCGTGCGTATTTTCGAAGCCCTATCCAATAATTATTAAAATATGTGTTGTTTCCGCTTGAGTAATTATCCAAGACTGGCTAAATTTATTAGTCGCACCTTTTGAAGACAAGTCGATTTTTATGATAAATCTCATTAAGAAAATATTCTTTTGTATAACTGCCCCCTGGAAATCAATAATAAAATTTGTAAGTTCGGATAAACTTAAGCCCAAAAAAAGATCAGCATAAAAAATTTTTAGGAGACCACATCTCATGAGCTGAAATTCGTCTGATTGGCTGGTGCAAATCAATTGTCCGGGTAACTTATTTATACACTTTAAAGTAGTTTTTGAGAACGTAAAATTACAAAAGTAAAAAATAAGCACTAATATTATTTATAGCTTCAAAAGATCGTTATAAAGTTGACTTCGAAATTAATCTCTTATTTAAAGGAAATAAAGTCTTGGCTTTTGTTTTTTAAAGATTGAAATTAATATTTCGGGTTAAGTGTTTGAAGCAAGGCAATTTATATTTTGACGAGACCAATTTGATTCTGTGTTTTACATTACCACCTCCTTCACCTCCTTAGTAAAAAAAAAATTTTATGTGTATATATAGAAGTCTGATATTTCAAAAAGTTTTGGAGCTAGTAATGATCCAAAAGACCCGATGTAGATGGTGAATGAACCTTAAATGCGAGTGAGGTTGGCCGAAAAATTCCGAAATCTAAAAATCAAAAATCTTTCGAAAAATAAACCCGTTTTCTTCCCCTCCTCTAGGAGGGTAATGTAAAACATAGAATCAAGTTGGTCTTGTCTTAAGATATCCTTAAGTTGGCTTGGTTTGTTAAAGTGCACATGGGTTTATTGATCATAGATAAGAATCTTGATTTATACGTATATAATCCAATAACCCATCTGCATTTAGTATTGGTAATAATAAAATAGATTTCGTTTCTAGTGATGCCTGACGAAATGACGAAACCATATAGTTTCGTCAATTCGTCAATTGACAAAACTTATGTTTTAGTACCGGTAATATTAAAATAATTAGGTAGCTGCGCGACTTAGTCGTGCTAAAACCAGGTACGGAAAGTTTTATTTGGGTTAATAAATATGGTTAATTACAATATATATAAATAAATAATAAAAAAGGAAAATTTAATCAATAGTTTGAAAATTTAGTCATAATTATGGTACATATAGACCAATTTTATTAATTATTTTGTCTACAGTCATTTCATTGATAAAACTTGAGCGATAGGTTGGCCTATAAATTGTTTGTGTTGGCTAGAGTTAGATTGTCGATGAATCTTACAAAAATCTTAACTATGTACTTACATTACTTAGTCAATTAGCATTAAAAAAATTGAGATTAACATTTTTTATGAATAACGGACAATCTATACTAATATTTTGATTTATTTGTCTGCTTTCTATATTTTGTAATTTCAATGATGAATGCACTCACTATTATAAATGTGAATAGGTAAATTAGTGATTTGCAACAATGGGTGATTAATAATTTCAACAATGTAACAGTAATCTTAACAATGAACGTTGGTGATTTTAAAAGTGGGTTAGTGATTTGAACATAGAGATTACTGTTTCAATGGTCGGTCAGTTAGTGCCTTTATCTTGATGGGTTAATTTTAACGGTGAGTAAATTAATAGTTAAAACAATAAGTTAAGGATTCTAATAATGCTAAAGATTTTTTAACAACGGATAGATTTGAGATTTTGTGATGTAAGTTCATGACTTAACAGCGACTTCAACCGTTGGTGTTCGTTTTAGCAGTGCAGATTCGTGGCTTCGAAAGAGATGGGAGTGATTTTAATAGTTGGTGAAGAACATAAAAGATGTGACAATTATGTTCGAAAGCTTATTCGCACGAAAATCAGATGTTTTTCATATCTGTGAGAATAAAAGCTAAGGCAAAATTCATTTTTTAATAAGAACTATGTAACTAGATATTTTTTAAAAATTTTCACTTTTGGACGAAGACTAATATATGTATTAATCGAGTAGTTTTTTTAAAAAAATTCTCATTGGCTACAAAACTAATATTAAGTCAGGTAGTTTTTAAAATTCATATTTGCTTACGAAGACAAATTATGCCTGGTAGTTTTTAAAATTCTTATTTGCTTAGTGATTTTTTAATAAATTTTTGTTTGTTAAGTTAATGTTAATATTAGGTTGAGTAATTTTTTCTAGTCCTTATTGGCTGGTCTAAGAAATTTTAGGCCAACAGTTTTTTAAAATCTTATTTGTCAGACGAGAATCATACTATTTATTTCTAAATAAAAAATTCATTTCCGTTCTTTATTCATGATTTTGAAATGTTCCAAAATTTACAACAATCAAGTAGTTTCTTTGAAACAAAAAATTATATCCAAGTGTATCAAAAGTTTTATGAGCAAGGAATAATAAAAGGTAATTATAAGTTTAAATATTTAAATAGATTATTTAAAAGAAGCGACGCACGGGTTGTTACGTCAGACCCGTACGATAATATAGTTATTATATGGATCTCCGGTTTATATCCAAACCACGTAGCCTTCGCCAAGTAGCTTGAATATAAACCAGTGTGTAATTAGTTACACCCAGATATCTGTACAATAACTATAACTTATTTATATATATGCTTTCACTTACACGGATACGTATCATATCATCGACGATCGCCTCCCCAAGCATCCCATCACACGGAATAAGGAATAATATTGAACAATAATTATTAATCATCAAATAATCGTTAAATATTAATCATCGTTCTGTGTGGTGAAGTTTCGTCGTGGTTTTTGTTTTGTCTTCGCCGGTTTTAAGCTTTGTCTTTCGTCACTATACAAAAAAGATTTCATATAACAACCATATAATTGACTCAAATTAACAAAACATACGAATTTTTTCTAGAATTATGACTTACAGATCTTTCTCCAAAAATTAACAGGTACGGATAGCTGTATTTAATCAGATTATCTGATCTATCCGAATTAGTTGAATTAAGGCACCTAAATTAATAGTTCAAAGCTCGGAGTTCAATTTTTAATTATCTAATGGAAAATATTTTGGCCGGCCAAATGAGTTTATTCCAATAAAAAGAGAAAAACAAAATGTTCGAGACCGTTGTTTTTGTCTTATTGGCTAAAATTTAGTTTCCGTATTTTGCACTATGAATCTTCAAAATTGCTGTGAAGATTACTCTATGAATCTTGAAAATTACTGTGAAGATTACCCAATCGTAGTGCTTGTGTACAAGTTTAACCATGAGCTAATTGCATTGGGGAGATATTGAGTGCACCCAAAGGGTCAAGGTATTTATCAATTAATCGTCGTTATGTGCTGTGTGCTTGATGTGATTGTCTCTGAAGAGACACGTACCCAATGTAGAAAGGTTAGAGTGTAGATAATAAAATGACAAAAAAGGAAAAAATATGTATTGGAAAATTCATAATCCATATAATTAATATATTATGCATATATAAGTAAATCGACTTAGGCAAAGCAGGTTAAGTAGATTTTTTAAGTATCAATTTAGTCTAGTTGATAAATTTAGGTCAACTTCCTCTTCTACATACCAATAAAAAACACATAATAAATGGTGATTTAAAAATAGTTTTCGTATGACTTCATATGACAATTATATATCAACCAATCATGTTTACTATCACGCTTTTTTGCGCTTAGTGCTATTTAAAATAATGTACGTAAAATAAAATTTTTTAAAAAAAAATTTGGTTGTAACTAAATTTATAAATTATTAACATCTATCTTTAAATTTCAGATAAATAAGGATAATACTGTGTGAAAAAAACTCCGGTTATACATAACTTTATAACTGAAAATATACTCGACAAAGTGTGTTGACAAATTTTATTAATAACAATATAATTAATCTTCAGTCAGACTTCACTCTTTAAAAATGCTAAATGTACGATGTAGATTGTTGCCATCTTATACATTTTGCTTTCTATAAGTGCACACCCTCTATAAATGCAAATTTAAGATGTTTTTTTACTGTTATCCCAAGGGGAGTATATTTCTGGAGGTCATACTGTAATATGTCATCATCCAAGGAAAAAAAACATGTCGACGTATTAATTTGTGGCGCAGGTGAATTAAAATTTGACTAAAATTTTAGCTAACATTTATGATGAGAATTTTCAAATATTAAAATTCCTTTAACAAAAGGACCCGTTGGATTATTTCTATCTAATGAATTGGCTGCATTCAAAGTAAATTTCCGCATCATCGAAAAGCTTGATAAGCATCCAAATTTTTCAAAGGCTATTTTTGTTTCACCAAGGACCTTGGAAATTTTTGATAATAGGTGATTTAATAATCACTAATATTTATTCTTTAATCACAAACAAAACCATTCCTATTCACGTTTTTCTTATTTATTTTAGGGGTCTTATTGGTCCTTTCTTAGAAAATGGTGTTAAAGTGAAACAATTCATTACATACCAAACTATTCACGAATTGTTCAAATTCGATCTTAGTAGCATAAACAGTTTATTTCCTTATGCATTAATGAGCCGTCAAAATAAGACTGTAGATTATTTAATCGATGCTTTGCATCAAAAGAAATTAATGGGAACAAAAAATGTTCCAAATGTTGAATACGGATCGGAACTGATAAAGTACGAAGAGAAAGATGATCATATTGTCGCTATTGTCAAGAATATAAATAGCGGTAAGGAAGAAGAAATCATTTGTCGCTATTTAGTAGGGTGCGATGGTGTACATTCTAGTGTCAGAAAAGGAAGAAACGATTGGATTTTTGAAGGTAAGATCAAATATATAAAATTATTAGTTCATATCCTTAATCGCGTATTAAAAAAAAATTCGATCATAATTATTTGTTTTTTATTTTTATAAAGGTCAAACGCTGAAATTTTCGTGGGCCGTAGCTGACGTAAGTATTGATCATGAATTGGTTAGAGATGATCAAGTAACTCTTTTCGCAGCTGCTGAAGGTAATGCATTTTGTGTTTGTAAAACTCTTATAATTCATTTTAATCCACATTTATTATTTTATTATTTTATTAGGTCATATTGCGATATTACCATTGGATTCCCGAAAAAAAACTTTTCGCATTATTGGAAGAGTTCCTGAAGAGCACATTACACTGGATAAGCTACAGAAACTAGTCGATAAGAAAACAGCTCCTATTAAATTTGAGATAAAAAATCCTGTTTGGCTAGCTAATTTTAAAGTTAGTGAAAGAATTGCAAATAGATATCGAATAGGCCGTGTCTTCCTCGCTGGAGGTAAATAAAAGTTTTATATTTTATTTTTTTGTACAACAATAATATTTCATTGCTTTTTCTATTAAATGAAGACGCTGCACATTGTCATTCGCCGGTTGGTGGTCAAGGCATGAATTTGGGAATTCAAGATGCTCATAATTTAGCGTTCAAGTTAGCACTAGTTATCAGGAATCAGACTATCAACCCTGATAAGGTTCTTAATAGTTACGAACAAGAAAGACGTCCTGTTGGCAAGAACGTTGTTTCTGGTACCAGTTTTGCTACAAAAATGTTAAGTGGTAATGATTTTATTAGCGCTTTTTTACGAATGTCTGTAGTACCCTTCATGTCCCATTTTTTCCCACAAATTGTGTCTAATTATCAGTCCAATTTATTTCAAATTGATCTTAAATATTTTCCCGAGACATCCGATATTCTTCATAAATACAAACCTCTCTCACGCCCTAAAAACAAATTGATCAAAGCGGGTCATTATGCAAAAGACGGTCTATTAAAGAAAGTAATCCCACACAAAAGTCATGATTGCATAACTTTATTTGATGTCTTTCGTTCAACTGCATTAAAACACACCCTGATCCTGTTCACTTTAACTAAGGATGTCACTGCTGATCGTAATCCACTTATAAATACCCTGTTGGAGATTTATTCTGACTATAAAAATATTATAACACCAATCATCGTTTCGTTTCAGGGTGCTGTTCAGACTGCTGATGTACCATTTATGCCATTCTTTGAAGAAGGCCGAGAACAGCATATATTTATGGAGACAAAATTCGAATTGCATGAAAAATATGGCATCACGAAAGAAATTGGCCAGCAGGCTTTTGTACTTATTAGACCTGATTTATACATTGCTAGTGCTGTGCTTGAAAATGACGTTGATAAATTAAAGGCTTTCTTAGAAGGGTACTTTGTCAAGTTAGTCAGATAGCTATGAATTTTAAAATGATATTGAGTTGTTAATTGGAAAGGCTTTGGGGTTTCTTTCGCGTTGATCAAGAGATTTTGAGTTTGTTTTGAGTTCTTCTTCCCATCCATCATCTTTTTTTGTTAGTATTAACAACGTTGACATTTCTAATACCTCCGAATTTTGAGTCATTAATTGTGTTAATAGTCTGAATTTTGACTTATTGGAGTTAAATGATTGTTGATCTTGTTGATTCTTAAAGGGTTAAGCTAATTTGATACTGGCTTTATAACATGTTCTTACTTTTAACTCTTACAAATGTTTTCAAACTTCTAATTCAAATAGTCTAATAAGGTTATGACCTATTTTTAGTATGTATAACAGTTATATATTCTTTTTCTTAATATAGGTACTTTTTCAAATACTCTAGTTTTATTCAATTTTGCTAATCTTAGATTTATTTTTTATAGTTTTTTGAATTTCTGAGTTTAATAGTCTAATTATAGATTTATATTAGCTCTAATATTAGTTTATATAAGTATAATCTGTTAAAAGTTATTTATCTATTAATACTTTTTTTAACATTGTAATGCTAATACAATATTTCACTTGCAGTATATTTTTTAAATAAAAAATATATTTAACATTAATATTTTCAATAATCTTTTTCTTAGATAAGACATTTTTTAAAAATTATTCTTTGATATATTTATAATTCTAATTAACATTAATTCTAAATTAGTTAATTCCGAAATTAAATCATACAATTTTATATTGAAAAAATAATTGTTAAAAAATTATTTTATCTAAAAATATATATAGTGTAATGTTGCAAATAATTGCTTGCTTAAAAATCTCTATTTATAGAATATCTCAGATCAGTTTGCTTAACGTTGAATGATACGATTACTATGGAAAAGAGAATAGATTTGGCAGAGCATATGCTTTATTAAAGTGTATATGTAAATGTGTTCATAATTATCTATTATATACAAATAGTTTGTACTTTATATATTATTTACATATTTGCTATATCTACTAATTTTGCTAATTATTCTATATATACTAGTTAAGTTGCTTATACTCATTATGTTAAATCTACTATATATGTAACTTCTGTTAAATCTATTTACTATGTTATGTTTACTAAATAGTTATGCAATTAATCTCTTTTAGGTTTAATGTATTATTGATCAATTTTTAATTATTATAATATAATATTAAATATTTTTTATAGTTATTATCTATTTATTTATTAAATATTCAAATCTAAATTTGTTTAAATATTTATATTTTTCTGAAAATAAATTATTTTTTTGATTAAATTATATAAAATTTTATAAATAACTTATTTTTATAAATAAAAATGGCTTTAATTATTTACAAAGAAGCTTACTAAATAAATCAGTTTTGAATTCTTTAGTAAAGTAGTTCAGACAATCAAATTTGATAAATTTAAAAGTTTTAATAAATTAAACAACTTTTTATTATTTAACTTTTTAATTTTTATATTAATAAATATAAATTTTTTAAAAAACTCAAATTTTTTAGTAAACATGAAATATAAAAATCTACTAATTTAAATTTTTTAATTTATACAAAAATTTTAAAATATTAATAGTACTTTATAACTTTGTTATAAAAATTTTATATTTTTAATATTTTTTAAAATAAGCTATTATTAAAAATAATTATTTTTTTATTTAAATTTAAAATAATTTATTTTTTTCTATTTAATATTAAATAACTAATTAAATTTAAATAAATATCTGTTATATAGTATTATATATATATATATTTTAGTATTAAGGTAACTTTTTTAGTTTTTTTGACTTTTATTAATGATTTTTTTAATAATATGATTCTATAAACTACTATAGAAAGATTGTACAATTAACTATTGTTAGATTCAGATAAATGTGACTTTGTTACTTCACAATTTAATATCTTGTATAATGTATGATAAGTAACTTTTTTAAAAGAGAATGTCAGATTTGACTAGTAAGTAATTAAGACTTTTAATTACTTTGGATCAATAAATGCAAGTAGGATAAGTCATGTAGTCAAAGGCTTGTTATAGAAGTTTACAGAGTTTGTAATGATAATAGTGTTAGTGTTTATTATGTACAATGTAGTATATTAGGATTTATTATTTTATAAAGCAAATGAAGCATACTGCTCTAAGAGCCATTTTGGCCTTTATTTATAATATAAAATTTGTTACTTACAAATGTGACTTTACACTTATTATTTCTTAAAACTAATTAAAACTATTTACAATAATTTATTTAATATCTTTAAGGATGTATAATTTGTCTTTATATTCTTCTTTAATTTTTTATCTATTCTTCTAGATTAAAATACTATTTCTAGTCCTAAATATAACTTATTGTATTTATTGCATTTTATGCATTTTTTATATAATTGATCACAATATTTGATATTATAATATCCATTATTACACTATATATATAACTTTTTTATATTATCTATTTAAGGAGTTTATCTAAAGATTTCTATTAATTACTATATCTAACATTTTTGTTTGAATATTTTATTTTAAATTCTCTGGATCTGTATCTGTAGTAATATTACTAAGTTATGTCTAGGTTATTATTTCAATCTTAGAACTATTTTATTATTGAGGTAAACCTTTTAAAAGTTTTTGTATTTATTTTTACAACTAATCTAACATTATTATAACAAAATTAATATTGCAATTAGGATTAGCTATAAACTACTTTGCTTTATAAAGTTTACTCAAATTTTAATATCTATTTACAATATATTTGAGTTAATTTAATATAACTTTGCTTATTCTTTAGATTCCAATTCAGATAGTTTAACAAGACTATAACTAGTTTATTGATATATCAGATTAACCTGATATTTTTTTTTTAGTTTATTTGAATGGTCTAGTTGTAGTACTATCACCTAGAGATTATTGCCTATCTAGGTACCTGATATTGGTATTCATTTTCTAAAGCTAACATTTTTAGCAGTATTATTAAAATTTTGTGCTACTACTTTATTCAGGTATTTTTAAATAGACTTTTTGTTTTCTAATTTCAATAGATTTATATAATCACAAAAACTTATTTATAGTTGCATTGCTTAATGTTGGTTTGCATTTCTCTGTATAATGCTATACTTATACAGATGATTTATAACCTTATAAACATACTAGTAAAACTGTTATTATAACTATTTTAGCTTAATCATTAAACAAAGTTACTGTAATATAAATATAAGATAAATAATTATTCAAATTTTAGTATTAATAGAATTTAATATTTAAGCTATTATTTAGAAAATTGATAACTTATCTACTTTATTAAATTCAATACACTTATATAATATTAATATTTTTTTTTTTTAACTCTTTGGCAGCCTTGCCAAGATCCTTTATTAAGAGAATTGCATACATGATTCTACAAATATTAGCTTAATTTTTTGGTTTGACATCCCCTGGCTATTGTATTAGTGCCCAGAGGTGACCTGCTGCACTAGAGTGGGTTAATGCTCACTACTAAAGGGCTATTCAGGCTAGCCTTTGAGGCCATTCCAGTAAGGCCTCTTGTTATTATTAATTAAATTTCTAATTGTGTTCCTCTATATGTCTTCTATGTTTTCACTTTCTGTTTCCTTTTCCTTCTTTATATATTTTATTTTTTTTGAGTTTTCATCTTTTAATCTTGATAACACCTTGTGCAATACTTTGTTTTGTTGTTCTGCTACTTTATTTTTACTTCTTTTCTTTTTTGTACTGATTTCTTGGCTTTTTTCCCATTTGGATACTTTATTGCATCTTTCTTTCCAAATTTTTTCATAGAACTTATTCCATATAGTATCTACTATACTCATTAGAAAATTTCTTGTTTCTTGTACTGAGATCATGATATTTTGTACCCTCTCTACTAATTCTTCATGTAAAAAACCTTTAATAAGCTTTTTCCTAACTTTGGTGCTTTCTTCTTCTGTTTGGCCCCATATTGCTTCTTTTAAATATATTTGAGTGATACTTTTTCTTTTCTCTTCTGAAAGTGTGCTTCATGCAATTGACATTGTCAGTGTTTCTGCCTTCACCCAATAGTTTTTATAAAAGAAGCATGTTGCTAAATGGTCCTGGTCTTCTTCTTTTCCTTCTTTGCAAACTATACACTTTGCATCAGTATACAGGTCT